GGGGGGGGGGGGGGGGGGGGGGGGGGGTGAGTGAAGTGCACATGATGCTGTCTGTCTGTCTGTCTGTGTGCAGGAGATATCAGAGTGCATCCAGAGTGCCGAGGTGTCGTTCATCAACAGCCTCTCACAGAGGGTGCAGGAGCTCGACGTGTCAGAGGTACACACGTGCAGATCACTCGTGAAATGGCCACATGCCCACGCATCCTGAATGAATGCACTGACGGCGTCACTGTCTGTCTGCTGCAGCGGGGTCGCTACCTCCGGGCCATCACGAGTTTCAAGGAGGGCCATCGGCAGATGGTCAACAGCTTCAAGAGCGCCTGGAGCGTCATGAGCGACGCACTTAGACACCTCGAGACACTCGACGTCGACAGAATTTACACGTGCGTGACGCCCCCGACACACACACACACACACCCACACACACACGCGACACCTTCATTAGTCCTCTGTGTGTGTGTGGGTGTGTGGGTCCGTGGTTCAGTGATTGGCTGCACACGCATCTGCTGGCGCCCTCCTCCCTCCCCTCTCTCCCCCACGGCGCCTCATCCCCGCCATCAGCCACACGACGCAAGAGCTCAGGCGAGCACCAACACCACCCACGCCCATACCCGTACAACCACCACCACCACCAGCAGCAGCACCAGCAAGAGCACCGGCTCGGCTCTCAGACGTCATTCCTCACAGCTGACGACACACAGACACCGACATTGGCGCAAACTGAGCTGGAGAGGCAGCCGTCTGCCGGTGCTAGAACGGTGTTCCGCAGGTGGGAGGCGGACCAAAACGACGAGAGAGAGGAGGAGGGAGAGAAGGAGCCGAATGCTCATCATCAGAGGGAGATGGAGAGGCGGCACTCCACCGGCTCTTCATCGTGCGACGACGGCGGGGCGCCCTTCTACTCGCCCGAGAGCGGCTCCCTGGAGGTGCTGCCCCATGCAAACGAGCACGAGCCGGACAGCCCCACGGCCATCTCAGAGCGGGCCTTCCCCTCTCAGCCCCTCACGGACACCCCCTTCCACTCTCTCAGCGAGCGCGCCATCCCCACCGCCGAGCTGATGGACGACAGGGCATACAGAGACCGGGAGAGGCGCCTGTACTCTCACCCAGAGCTGCCGATCGTGCCAAGAAGGAAATCTGAGGACACGTTCGAGGCTGACGGAGGTGGTGGTGGGGGAGGTGATGGTGAGGGGAGCGGTGAGGGTGATGACCCCCCCGAGCCCTTCAGGCCCCGCAGCATGAGTGAGCAGGAGAGGTCGCCGTCCAACCCCGACTCCCCCTGGAACCGACGCACCGGCATCTCACCCGCAGAGAGGGAGAGGGAGCGGCTCAGCGGCTCGCGAGACGGCCTCCCCTTCCCCGCGCCGGCCACCTCAGACACACCCACACCACCCACGCCAGAAACACCTGGCGAGAGCAACAGTGATGGACACGCCCAGTCGGTGCGCAAGTCGGCCCCGGCAAACACGCTCCTGACGAGCGTGTCCCTGGACCCCTGCAAGCCCACCCCTCAAGTCATCGGGCGGTCGACCAGCTCACCCATGGTGTCCTATGATGGCGAGCCACTCGTCCTTATAAGAAAGGAGTCTTCCCGCCACAGCCACAGCCAGAGAGAGGACGGTGAAAGGGAGAGGGAGAAAGAGAGGTTTGCGCGGCCAGAGGGTGTGGCGGGCCCGTTCTCCCTGGCCGGGTACCCTGCTGCCAACGATGTGAGTGTGCCTGAGAGCGGCATGCTCGAGGCGGAGGAAGAGAAAGTCAAGTTCACCGTGCGGGCCGTCAAGCCGTTCGCGAGCGAGGATGGGGAGTTTCGGTTCAAAGAGAACGACATGGTGAGTGAGAGACGGAGGGGGGGGTGAATGTGTGTGCACACACTGTGTGTCTGCTGTCTGTCTGTCATCAGGTGTCTGTGACGGTCCCTGTGGGAGAGACATGGGAGGGCCTGACGAGTGACGGCGTGCCAGGCAGCTTCCCCGCCAAGTCAGCCCTGCCACTGGCACGCACACACACGCTCACACGCACACACACATGCACCTGTCTCTGTATGTGTGTCGTCCATCTGTGCATCAGCTGTGTGGAGGTGCCTGCCGACACCATCTGGGCGCAGGGCGTGCTCGAGCCAGAACCGGCGCCAATCGACAGATTCTTTCAGGCACGAAAACACCCCTCCACACCACACCACCTCCCCACGCGCCCACACACACATGTGTGTCTGGTTAGGATCTGTTTGGGACCGGCAAGAAGCCCTTCATCCCCAACGCGAGCAGCAGCAGCCATGCCGCGCAGGTCACCCCTCCATCCGCCACACAGTCCTCGCCCGCACGGGACGATGCCAAGCGAACACACATGAGCGGATTTGAGCTAGGTCACTAGCCCACCCACCCCTCCCAGCCCCCTCATCCATCCAACCATGTGTGTGTGTGTGTGTGTGTGTGTGCAGGGGAAGGTGTGGATGCGCTGAGTCCGTTGAGTGACAGCCGTGGTGGTGCTGGTGGTCACGATGCTCATGGGCAGCCAGCACGGAGTGTGTCGCTGCACTCCCACACGGAGAGCCTCGACGGCACCAGCGCCGTCACCGCCGTGGGCGTCATGTCGTCAGCAGAGGACGAAGAATTCCGAATGAGGTAGAAGCCATGCTAACACAAACCTTCCTGCAGCTGGATGGATGGATGGTGTGTGTCCGATCCGTGTGGGTGTGGCAGGTTTCACGTGGATGGCAACGTGGTGCAGTCCTATGCGTGCGCTCTCAACCGGAAGATCCTGCTGCAGGGCCGGATGTACATCACTCGGGACCACATCGGGTTCTTCTCCATCTTCAACGACAACACCCTCTTCGGCGGCGACACCGCGGTGCTCATCCACTTCAACGACGTCGTCGCCATCACCAAGAAGTGGAACGCACTCATCTTCCCGAACTCAATCGAGATCGAGCTCGCCGACGGCACCGCCCACTTCTTCGCCTCGTTCATGACGCGCGACCGGGCCTATGACCTTCTCACCCAGATATGGATGGGCAGACAGACCGTCAGATTGGTAAGCGAGCACCCCATAGCACGTCCATCTGGATGGGCCCCTCTCCCTACCTCTATGTGTGTGTGGTTATGGCTGGATCAGCTTGACGGCCTTCCCGCCCCTGTGTGCCGGTCCGGCTCCTTCAAGAGCGACCACGTCATGATCTCCCGCCTCCCCAGCGGCACCCACGACACACTCACAGCCGACGGCCCCCCACCGGACTTCGTGCGTCAGGCCGACACCGTGCAGCCCTTCCCCCTGGCACTCTCGCCACGCGCGCTGGCCTCCCTCAACACCCCCCACTCTCTCCCGGCCTCGCCCATCTCGGCACCGGCGCGTCCGATGCCCCCGCTGCCACGGGAGTCGCCCCCACTCACCGCCAGCGACCCTGGTGATGCGGAGAGGGGCACCTTGGCGGGGGCAGCGGCAGCGGCGGAGGGGATAGAGATGCAGACAATGCTGCTGAGTGGAGGTGATGAGGGCGGGCAGGCGCGTGACCTCTCACCCATATCGCGGGGAGAGGGAGAGGGAGAGGGAGAGAGGGATCGTGTGATGGACGCTCGTGCGGTCGAGATGGCCCCCGCAGCCCCAGTTTTAGCACAAGTACCACTACCGGCAGCAGCGGAACCATGCCCCACTGAGCCGCTGAAATACGTCGTGCCCGGGTAAGTGAGTGAGCAAAGGACACTGGAAGGAGAGAGGACACGTGCACGCTTGCGCGTGTGTGTGTGTGATCAGTGCGATATGGAAGCGTAGCATCCGTCGGGTGTTCGACATCCTCTTCAACTCGTTCGACAAACCCAACTCGTTCTACCACCGGTATGTATGTGTGTATGATGACATCCATCGTTCACACGCGCACATCACATCCGCACAAGAAAGACACAACACCCCCTCCCCCTCCCTCCCTCCCTCCCTCTGTGTGTGCCCATGAGGGCAGTCTGCTGCACCGGACCAAGGCGTGGGACTACCGTCTGCCTGGGTGGGATCCCCCGCCCCCGCCCCCATTCGGCAAAGGCGACCCATTAGGCAAAAGACCCACCAGATGCGTCACATACAAACGAGCCGGTAGGCACGCACCGCACACATCCGGGTCGGATCACACGCCACGCGTGTGTCCACCTCACCTGTATGTCGATCGGTGTGGTCAGTGCGTCGGACGGCGTTGACGGCGCTGCTCTCTCTGCCTGAGCAGTGCGTGTGCACGGAGACGTACAAGCTGTTTGTGTACTCGGCTCGCTGCTTCCTGGTCGACGTGCGGGTGCAGATCTCTGACATGCCGCTCGCCGACTGCTTCGAGATACACACACGGTACGGTGGGGGTGGGGCAGCCACACAGTCCACACATGAATGTCATTGCCGCAGTCGTTCCATGGATCCGTGTGTGTGTGTGTGTGTGTCAGGTACAAGTTTGTGTCTGTGGGCGATGAGGGTGAGGGCATTGAGACGCAGCTCGACGCCGACTTCCAAGTCGACTTCGTCAAGAACACCATGCTTAAGGCAACTCGCACACCCACACATCCATCCACCCAGCACACAAAGACACGTGTCTGATCCTCCCCCCTCATCGATCGATCAGGGCAAGATCGAGTCGGAGGCCGTGACGGAGTTCCGCGACATCAACCTGCCGGTGTTCATCGAGGTGGCCACGGCCTGCCTGGCCCCGCCACCCACCACACGCCCGTCCCCCATCCTCCCACTCACGCCAACCAGACCGCCGCTGCCCTCCAGCGGTGCCCCGTCGGTGCTGCTGACGCAGAGGGAGCGGCCGCCACAGACGAGTGCTTTGGGGGTCATCATGGCGCCCGTTGGTACGTACGGGTGCATTGCAGACACACCCACGGGGCCAGACACCAGAATGGTGGCTGTTGTGTGCAGTGGGTCTGTTGAGGTGTGTTGCGGCTGTATGGGCCAAGGCGTGCACCCTCTGTGGGGTCGATCCATACCCCAGAACGGAGGAACACGCTTTCAGAAGTAACCACTGACTGACCACCTCCAGACACACACTATGCATCCCATTCTTTCGTGTGTGTGCACACAGGGACGGTTTTGGTGTTCCTTGCGGCGATAGTGCTGCTGTTAGTGATCATATTTCTGGAGCTGCGTCGTTTGGTGTCGGTGCTGGAGGTGGTGGCGAGTGGTGGGGGTGTGCAGGCTGGTGGCAAAAGGCTGGAGGAGCAGCTGAGCATGCTGCTGTCGTCTGTGAAAAGAAGCGATGGTTTGTAAGTACGTATGTGGCGATGGATGGCTGGGATGGCTGCGTGGACGCGATGCCTGGTGTCTACAGAAGGGAAGTGTGCAGGTTCGTCCATTCGTCCATTGGCCGTGCATGTACGTATGTTTGTGTGTCGCTGTCGCATACACACTACTTATTTGTAACCACACGTGTGTGACGTGCCTTTCTGAACACACACACAGCAACACACACACACACACACACATACACACATGAGAGCGTCGTCGCTCCCCATCCTCATTTATGTACCCAGGTGTAGCAGCTGCTCCAGGGCACCTCCAGGTCCTTCGCTGTCTCATCGTCATCTATGCGCGGTTGCCCGAGAGCAGATGGAGCAGATGGACGGACAAGGGACAAGACGGACGACGAAGACGTTAGTTTCGCTTCCGTCCGTCCTCGAAAGAGGGATATCTATGGTGCGCCATCCGTTCTCGTGCAGCCTGGCCGGCCGAGTGAGTGGGGAGGCGAGAACACCATTGCTCGCTGTATCAGTGCCTCTGATTGGCGAGACGGCTCGGGATATCTCTGCCTTCTTCTTCTTCTTCTTCTTCTTCTTCTTCTTTGGTATCCGTATGGCCGGCAGAGTGAGTGGGGAGGTGAGACCACCGCGGTATCGGTGCCTCCGATTAGCTCGTAGGGCGAGAAAGGGAGACGGCGCGAGAATTTACACTTTTTGCGAGACGGGCGGCTGAATGATCATTCTCTACCTCTGTTCTTCGCTTCGAGTCAGCACACAGCAGAAAGAGCTCTCCTCTCTCAGCTGTTTGCGTCAGTTGTGATTCGCGAAGTCTCTGTCACATCGATTCCGCCTCATCGTGTTGTCCCTGCCTGTGCGAAGATGGCAGTGGCGGTGACGAGCATCGACTCGCTGTTCGACGAGGTGGCGGAGGAGATGGCGGAGGAGGGAATGGGAAACCAGCAGTCAGGAGGTCTGCAGCCAGCGTCAGGCAAGCATTTCTTCCTCAGAGGGCGCACTCGGTGCACGTGCACTGAATTTCCGTTCTTCCTCCCCCCGACCGCCTCGCCCGCGTTGCATCTGAAGAGGACCTCAGGGAGGTAATTGCGGCGCACCTGCAGGCTAACCTGCGACACCTGCAAGGCCAAGCAGGTGAGCTTAAGATGCCAGAATAGGCTCTTGAAATGCTCTTTGCCTCCCCTCCTCTGCTGTGTGGTGTACAACAGGCCGCGTGGCACCTCCGGCAGATGTCGGAGCAGCTCGAGGTTGAGGTCTCCTACGCCAAGCCGGCCAAGGAGCATAAGGTCAACAATGCCCTGCCTGCCATGGCGTCGGCAACCTCCCCACTACCCCCAAGTGCCCCCACCACGACCACGCAGAAGACGACCACCGGCCACACGGCCGGCAGCAAGACCAGCAGCGCATGCCAGCTGCTGCAGACCGCCTGGGTGGCCGTCAAGGGGGTGTGGGAAGGGGTGAGCAAGATGGTGGCCGGCTGCAGCTGCACCAACATGACCACCGCCTCGCCCGCGTTGCATCTGAAGAGGACCTCAGGGAGGTAATTGCGGCGCACCTGCAGGCTAACCTGCGACACCTGCAAGGCCAAGCAGGTGAGCTTAAGATGCCAGCATAGGCTCTTGAAATGCTCTTTGCCTCCCCTCCTCTGCTGTGTGGTGTACAACAGGCCGCGTGGCACCTCCGGCAGATGTCGGAGCAGCTCGAGGTTGAGGTCTCCTACGCCAAGCCGGCCAAGGAGCATAAGATCAACAATGCCCTGCCTGCCATGGCGTCGGCAACCTCCCCACTACCCCCAAGTGCCCCCACCACGACCACGCAGAAGACGACCACCGGCCACACGGCCGGCAGCAAGACCAGCAGCGCATGCCAGCTGCTGCAGGCCGCCTGGGTGGCCGTCAAGGGGGTGTGGGAAGGGGTGAGCAAGATGGTGGCCGGCTGCAGCTGCACCAACATGACCAACGTGGCATAGACAGCCGGCCGGGGAGGGTCGGGAGGGCGCAGTGAGAGGTGCTTCCCGTACCCCAAGGACGCCTTCACCGCCTTGTCAGCCAACACGGACACCTCACTGATACACCACACACACACCTGCCATGTATGTGTCTCTGTCTGCCTTGTCACCCAGTGTCAAGCAGGTTGCGTTTAAGCGTTCGTTGTCGTCGGAGGGCCGCCACGAGTCGCCCCAGCAGCACTACGAGCGGAGCGTCCCGGCGGTGGAGGGCCGCTTCGCAGCAGTCGTCCTCCGCTGCTGCTGCTGCTCCCGTCGGACAGGTGAGACACAAAGCCGAACAAAAGAGACAGACAGTACTGACGACCCATGTCCTTGTAGATTGGTTGCCGAGCATTCGGGGTGGTCGCTGATGAGTATGATCACCTCTGCCATCAGCAGCTCGCTCCAGTGCTTGACTTGCCCCTTTGGGTGTTGCGAGCGGCCGGTTGTTGCTTTAAGGGCGTCCCGGCGGTGGAAGGCCGCTTTATCAGCGAGGCGGCCTCAGCCGCGAGCGCTTCGACTCGATGTAAGTGGGCGGCAGCCAGTGTGCGCGCGCTCACTTGTACACACACGACACACCCCCACACATCCATGTATGTCTTTCTTTGCGTGTGTGTCTCTCCTGTTTGTCGTGTAGGGTGTTGTTGGGGGCGTATGCTCTCTGGGAGGCCGAGAAGACCGCAGGCCGCCCCGAGCAGTCATCGAGGCCGTCGAGAGGGAGGCACAAGCGCAGAGGTCACTCCCGGCACCTTCCGCACTGGTGGGCGGGGTGGATGGGCCGTAGACCAGTAGACAGATAGATAGCTGAATATATATAGCTGGTTGCAACGTTGGGTGGCTGTAGCTGGCTGCAGAAAGGGATAAATCGCAGCCAGTCGAGTGTGTGTGGTGGTGAGTGTGGTCGGTCAGATGAGCATCGCCGCCTGCATTTTATATACGTTGGTTGATGGACGATTTCACATGCTCCTTCTGAATGACGGCTATGATCAACTGCACCGAGCGGGCCGTCATCGAGCGGCAAAGAACCCTCGACCGACCGCTGGACCGACGCCGCTGGTGACAAAAGAGATCGAAGACCACAAGGCCATCTGTCTGTGTAGGGTGTTGTTGGGGGCGTTCGCTCTCTGGGAGGGCGAGAAGACCGCAGGCCGCCCCGAGCAGTCATCAGAGCACTACTACTACGCCTGACGGTGCACCTCCCGCACTGGTGGGCGAGGTGCATGGGCCGTAGGTCAGTAAGTAGACAGATAGGTAGCTGAATGCATACATAGCTGGTTGGCTGGTTGGCTGCAGAAAGGGATAAAACGCAGCCAGTCGAGTGAGGGTGCACGTGGTGGTGAGTGTGGTCGGTCAGATGAGTATCGCCGCCTGCATTTTATCCGTTGGCTGATGGACGATTTCACATGCTCCTTCTTGAACGACTGGAGCAGATGACGGCTGGAGCAGAGCCAGAGGTCATCGGCTCTGCGAGGCGAGGAGTGGAGAGCATTCAGCCGAGATAGAGCAGAAGGATGGGCAAGGGTATCGCTGCCTTTTTAGATCCGTCGGGATTGTCTTTGATATCGGACGAGACACCGGAGGACTGGATGGATGGATGGTCCAGGACGACAGCTATTATTATTTGAGTTCGCTTTTTATTTCGCCCAAGGCAAAGGCATGGAGCCGGGGATTCGGAGGCGATATCATGAATGTTTCTAGCCCTCAAGGACAGTTTGGGTGTTTCTGCGAAGATGTGGTAAGATTGCAACCACGCCGTGTGACGCGTGTGATAGTGGTTGTGGTTGATCTCATCAGGGATGCGCTTTCATGCGCGACCTCGAGCAGCAGGGGGTGAGCAGGCGAATGCAATAACACAGAAACGGGATTTGGTTTGCTTGTCGTTTTTGCGTGTGCAGATGTCGGGCGTCGCCGCTCACTTTCGTCTTCTTCACACTGCTCACAGGGAGTTTCAGTCCCAGTTGCAGTCACTCAAGCACGAGAATGCCGTACTTAAGCAGGAAGTGGTGCATCTTAAGAAGGTCAGACAGACAACCGCCCAGACACGAACACACGGGCCTGGTGAGCAAGCGGCTCAGTTGCTCGTTGTCCTGTGTACTGGGTCATGCTGTGCCACCAGAGTTTGACTAGCGCATCATCTAGCGCTCGCGGCTCTCTGGCCGATCGCAATCCCCTTCCCCCTCCCCTCCCTCCACCGCACCCCACCCCTCCCCCACACCCATCGTCGCCATCGCGCCTGTTCGCAGGCCGATCTCAGGGCAAGAGGAGCATCGCTGACGAGGAGGCCGCCAAGGCGCTCCCCGCAGCAGCCGACGATGAAGTGCAGGAGATCACCCCACCCTCGCCCAAGCGGCCGCGGACGGATGGCGGTGGGGGGCAGGGATACCTGGGCGCTGAGCAGATCGACGACGATGACGATGACGAGATGACGATGCGGCCGGCCATCGACGATGAGATCACCATGCGACCGCAGGCAGCCGTCGAACCGCAGCTGCAACCTGCTGACAAGGAGGAGCGGGAGGGACAGCGAGAGGCACCGGGGGAGGGAGAGGGAGAGGGGGAGGGTGGCGTCAATCACGAGGCGCCGGCATGTGTGGCCATGGACGTGGACCAGCAGCCATCCACGCCTGTCCGCGAGCCGCCCAAGACAGACGATGACCGTGACGACGGCTCAGGGTCTCAGACGCAGCAGCCAGCACAGCCCGTCCCCCCACCGGCCCCCAACACCCAAGCCCGCGAGCAGCGCCAGCAGCAGCCGGCAAAAGGGGGAGGGGACAAGGAGGCCAGCGGTGGCTCCTCACTGGAGGAGCTGCGTGTGTGGGCGAAGGCCGAGGCGGGGAGGGCCAGGAAGCTCATCAACGATGGCAGGCATGACGAGGGGCTGGCCGCGGTTGACGCTATGCTATCGAAAGTCGGCTACCAGCAGGACGGCAGTACGCAGACACACACACACACACACGCATCTGCAACTGGGCTGCAGGAGGCCATCCACTCTCGTCTCTGTCTTTGTGTGTGTGTTGGGCGCATTGTTTTCAGCTCTCAATGGCATTCTTGGGATGGCCAACAGCAACAAGGCTGCTGTTCTCACACTGAAAGGCCAATTTGAGGCCGCCCTACAGGTATGCAATCAGCATTTCAGATGGACGAGAGGGCCATCCCCTCATTATGTGTGCGGTTGGCTGATACGGTCCCCGTAGGCGGCGAACCTGAGTGTTGCTCTGTGTCCCGGCTGGCCGAAGGGCAGGCTGATCCGTGGCAACGTCTACCGCAAGCAGGGCAACCTCGAAGCCGCCACAGCGGAGTATCACGCCATCATCGCAATGGTCACACACAGCACGACACAACACAAAGATACTCACACCGACCGAGACGCATCGACAGCAGCTCTCGTTTCTTTTGCTCTCCTTCTTTGCTGTGCACTCAGGAGGAGAATTTCAGCGGGTCGGCTGAAGATGCTCGCAAGGCCAAGGAAGACGCCCGGCAGAATCTGTCCAGAATCGCGGCCGCAAAACCACCACCCCGACCCCCTCATCCCGGCAAGACTGAGAGACCCCTTTATAATATCTAGGCCACTCATGAGTGCGTCATTATTACTGTGTGTGCCATGCTGTGTGTAGGGAAGAAGAGCGCACCGGCGCACACACCAACACCAGCAGGCTCGGCAGCCCAGGGGCAGCGCAAAGGCAACGGCGTGCGGACCAAGAGCGAGCCCAAGGCAGCAGCAGCAGCAGCAGCGGTAGCAGCATCGGCTGCGGTCAAGAGGGAGAGTGAGGCGGAGGGGGGGAAGGTTGAGAGAGGGGGAAGGGACCAGGGGCTGCTTGTGTGGAGCGGGAAGGTGTGTCGTGAGCAGTGTCCATACTCGGCGATTCGAGCCGTCAGCTCCGTCGTCGAACGGACTGTCAGGTACAAAAAAAGACGCCGGCCGCAGAGAGAAGGAGGCCTGCCCGGTGACCGCTTGTTTGCTTATCCCATCCCATTCATGGTCAGAGTGATGCGTCTGCAGCGTGGCAGCCCCATGTACAACACCGTCAAGGCCATCGTGGACGACCGCCGCCTCACTGAGATGCGCATCACGCGCTACCCGGCGGACACGAGCAGCGGCACCCCCACCCTGCTTCTGGTGCGAGGGCAGGTGTGTGTGGGCCGGGGCGGCAATGGCGAGAAGTTGGAGGTGGAGATCAGACTGCCTGAGGTGGGGGAGGGGGAAGACTCGCAGAGTGAGGGCACCGAGGAGGCGGCCGCCAAGTTCGTCAAGACCAAATGCACATGCCCTCTCGGTGAGTGAGAGGGTGCAAGAAACAAACAAGCAACACGGCGATGCGATAATCGATCTGTCGTGTGTGTGCCCGTCTCGTCTCGTCTTGTGTATGCCATGCCATGTCTGACAGGTCGTTCTCCTGGGATGGGTATGTGTCAGCACGTCTCTGCGCTGGTGCTGTGGCTGCGGGAGTGCCTGCGGGCGCCATTCGCCAACGGCAGCCACGCCAACGGACGACAGATCACACTCAACCCCGCTGACGAAAGACGGGCGATCGAAGAGGTAGGTGGCCTGGCTGAGCCAGGCCACCTACATGGATTACAGTACACACACCGACGACGTGTTTGGATGTGTCTGGGTGTGGTGTGGTGTGGTGTCTGTCAGGCCAAGGGTCGTCTCTCTCGCCGCACTGTGGAAGAACTCAAGACGTTGCTCAGGTGAGATGCGATGCCGACATGACATCCACGCAGCAGACCAGACCGACGTTTGGGCCCACGTGTAGTGTAGTGTGCTGCACTGACCTGACCTCATCTGGTTTGTCTGGGTGCGTCTTGTCGTCCCATCCATCCACAGGTTGAATAACCAGTCCGTGACTGGCGACAAGGCTCAGTTGGTCGCCCGAGCGGCCGACAGGGAGGTGCGAGGGTACGGACGGACGGACCGACGCACCGACGAACCGACACAACACAAACACAACCACAACCGCACCGAACGAACACCTTGCAGACTCGTCCATTGGCCTTTTCTTGTCGGTCAGTGCCATCCCGAAGTGTCCCAAGTGTAAGGCCTACTACCTGCGCTACCGAGAACCCGACAGAGGTCCAAATCGACACACTCACAGTGTCACGGAGAGTCCGCCCCACGTATCCTATCCCCCTTTGTGATTGCAGGTTCGGGCACTCAGGGGGTCTACTACTGCCCCGGCCGGCCTCAGTACGATGAAGATTTCTGCGGCTATGAGTCGAGTGACGTGCAGAGGATCCCGTGGAGACTCTCGTGACGGCCGACCGACCGACCGACAGAGAGACAGACAGACAGACAGACATCGACGGAGAGACAGATGGATGAGTCACAGTTCTGCCCATGCCGTGCCGTATGCCAGCCCGCACTTCCTTCCTGGGTTGGGTGTTGTGTTGGGTGAGCGACATGACATTCTGTGTGCACCACCAATGGAATGCATGTACAGTAAGTACATACCAATGCTCATGCTTCATTATGCTGCGTGGCGTGGATGAGTGAGTGGATGCTATGCTCATCCATGGTGCAGCGCTGGCGTTATTTGTATCCAACAGACAGACAGACAGACAGACGGTTCAGTTCAACGCCATCCGTCCATTCCATGCATGGCATGAATGGAATGTGTCCGTCCATTCGTGTCGGCACCTCTGGCTGGGACGGAGGGCATGAGCAGCCCCCTTGCCACCCACAGCCGTCACTCGCAGACACAGACACATCCACCCACCACATCAATCCAATGACACACATGATCATATGATGTCACTGACACAAAACCCACAGACAGACAGACAGGCTATACATACAGTCAGGACGAAGAACACATTGGCAACATTCGACAGACAGAGTGCAATAGCTTGGACCCGACCCCCCACGGAATACCCCACCCCTGGTTGTGATGTCACAGTCTACAGCAGTGCGAAATACGGCAGGGGGCAGTCACCACGGAGAAAATACGAGCTCAGAGCAAAGAACGAATCCATGTCATGTGTGGCGGCACGGCATGCATAGGGCGATAGATGCGATGACAGCGACGATCCGTCGCTGCCCACCGCATCACGGCCTTTATCATCCACCGATCAAGTTGTAACGCTCACGCAGCTCATCGATCGTGGCAGCGACCAGCAACAAGTACGGGTCGTCGGGCGGCAGTAGCCTCTTCAGCCCCTTGAGAGTCTCCCAGCCTTCATGCAGCGCCTCAGTTACTTTGCCCGCGCCCTGCAGCACCAACATGCGAAGCACCTCTCTGCATCAGTCACACACACACACACACACACACAGCGGCAGATGACTGACTGACTGACTGACTCATCCTCAAGGCGATGTCTTATCTGCCCACGGCTCCCACATACGTTCTCAGTCGGGTGTTCTCGTCCTGTCCTGCCGAATCGATGACTCCCTTCAGCCCCTCGGCTGCCTCCAACCACCGCCGCCTTGCCAGATTGTCTCCCACATCTGCCATTGGGCCGTCGCCCAGCCCGCCCCTTTGCTGATAGAAAAACGCCTGGGCATCGTCGAGCCTATTTGCCGCACTCAGCGCCAGCAGATGGTGCAAGATCTTCAGGGAGTGTTGCGTGATAGTGGGGCTCTCGACGACAACTGCTGTGCGATGGGCATGCACCCTGGAAGAGGCGGAAAGCGGCCGGGCTGCCAGAAACAGAGAGGAAGGAGAGGTATGCAATTGCTCTGTCTGTTGTGTATGTGTCACTTACCGAAGGGTGGTTTGGCGTGACGATGAACGGCATCGAATGCGGCAGCAACTGAAGAATCCCACAGCAAGATGAGGCAGATTCGAAAGACAGCCAATGCTCCAGCTAAGCTCATCGGGTAAGAGGCTACACATCAAAAAAGCTCAAAAAAAATGCGCGCTCTGAACGAATGGAGGATCTCCAGCTCGCAGATCTAACTTCCTCTTGCTTTCCTGCGGGGCTTGACATCGTGGTCGACTCCTATGGCCGTCTCGTGAATGAATCGGCAGTTTGGCCCTGAGTGACCGACGACTGCCTGACCAGCACCAGCATATCGCAGCAGCGGAGGCGGGATCTGGGCTGCCAGCACTCATTCGGAGAGCAGTGCACACCGGCAGCAAGGCAGCAAGACAATAGGGCACCCAGGCAGCAGAGAATGAGGATGTGTGCCCCGCGGTGTGGTGGCTGTATTTTGCATCGTCGCCGGGCGGGCTGTGTGTGACTGTCTTATCGCATTTTGCGGCTCAAGGGTTTTGGAGCGACTGCCGCTGGCCTGGCTGTTTGCTGTCCCTTGGCCACCAACGGGCCTCCTCCCGTGCTTATCCTCTAACACCCCACCCCTCACCCCACCCCTCACTCACTCACTGCATGGCATGATTGATTATGTGTGCTCTGTGGCTGACTGGCTGACTGACTGACTGAGTGACTGAGTGAGTGAGTGACTGATCGGATCGGTCTCTCTGGTGGCTGGCTGGGTGGTTTTGCATAGCGTATAGGCTCGTGTGTGTATGTAAGTGTGTCTGTGCGTTGCCCGCCTAATTCGTGCTTGCTCTGAGAGGCCTTGCCTTCTTCCTGGGATGGGAGGAACAAACATGGGTCTGTTTTGTGGCTACTTGGCGCCCCTGGTGTTTGTGGTGGGCCTTTTGTCGACGTGTATAGGCGGCGATGGCCGCTCCCTCTCCAACATACCCGTCTACGAAGGTACGCAAGCCGAAAAGGCAGGCACCGATGGATGGATGGATGAGTATCCCTTTCGACCTCTTTCCTGTTTGTTTGTCTGTCTATCTGTCTGACTGTCTGGCTGTCCGTCTGTCTGTGTCTTCAGGCGGCTATTGGTGTCGAGTTCGCTCACCCCCTCTCGGCTTCCCCTTCCCCTCCCCGGCCCGCCCCGGCCGCCGTGCCCTGCAGTCATCGCCGGGTGACCGCAAGTTCGACTTTTTGGACTCGTTCGCCTTCCTCGAGGGATTCGGCATCAGCCGGTCCTCCCTCACACCCATACAGACCTGCGAGGCATGCGAGCTGGACCGCGACCTGCTGCTCTCCGAGCCGGTCGCGCAGACATACGGGCTGGGCGGCGACGACCTGCCGCCCGCCAATGCGTCGGTGTGCGGCCTGCCTTACGTGGCCTGCCTCGAGTGGCGAGACGAGATGTACGCGGCCAACAGTACACAGCAGGGGTATGCGCTCGTGTGGGCGACACGGCGGATCGACCCACCGAGGAAGGCTGTGCAGTTCCCATCGGAGGTGGTGGTGCAGCTGACGCGGGTGGTGGTGGTCTTCTCATATCGGTGGCCCTTCTACGGCTCGCTGGACCCAGTCATCAACACACGGCCAGATGGGGTGGGGGAGAATGGTCTGGGGAGGCTGGCCGTGCTGTACATGTTCGGGGCGTCCGTCAAGGGCACCTTTGGAGAGGCCCTCACGCGGCTGACCAACCTGCGGACGCTACGGCTCTTCGAAAGCAGCATCGAAGGTTAGAGAGATGGGAAA